TATGTTGGATAAGTTGCAGAACGAAATAGACCAGGAGCTGGAAAATAACAATTCACTTGTTAAAGAAGAAAAGGAGGCAACCGAGGCAAGGAAAAAAGCATTGATTTCTGCTGCGCTGGCTAAATCAGGTGAAAGACTGCAAGCCCTTACACTGCTGATGATCCACTACAGAGCAGGCATTGAGGATATAGAGTCTTTGGAGAGCATGTCCTCAGACCGGCAGTCTAAAAGAGTGACTAAAGATTCAGAGGAAGCCAGTATAGCAGAAGAAGTGGATAATGAAGATATTGGTCTGACAGAGGCTCCAACATTCAACGTCATATCAAATGAATCAGTTGATCCACCTCAGTCGGTAGACTGATATTCACGTTTAGCCTTTGAAGGGCCGGACTTAAACAAATGCTTTGCACTTAATTACAAACATACAGAACGAATTAAAACGCTGGTAGAACACACCTGCTTCTCCACAGTTATTTGCCTATGTAAGAGTACAGCTGATAATGGTTCTTCTCCAGCTGCAGCACCATTGTTTTATTAAACTAGCTGGTTAAAACTGCATTTTGGGGTTTATATTGGAAATTTATTTTTAATAACTTATTTTCATTTTTTTCTAATTTTGTAACCTTACCATTTCATATTAATGTGTGGTGTCCCCCACCACTCCTGGACCCCCTTCCCCCCCCCCCCCCTTTTTTTTTTTTCTTTTTTTTTTTTTTTTTTTTTTTGGATATAATGATTTCAACACGAAACTATCAGGATTTTTTTGAAATATTTAGTTTCCATCTCTCTGTTTTATGATTAAAAGAAAAGCTTGTTGCATGCCTAAGCGAATGACTACGCAGAAATCACTGAGGGACCAGGCTTTAAAATTTTGATTGCAGTTACTTTGTCTGCTAGGCAATTGTGTATTTCTTGCCAAACATATCATGAAAACAAACAAAGCATCTTTTTTTTTTTTTTGTCTGTTATTAATACTTGTTAGAGTGATTGAGTATTAGATCACTTATTTTCCATACTTTCGTTAAATACAAGAACTTGTCATAGTTCTTAATATCATTCATAGCAATGCTATGCAAGAAAATGCCTCCCTGCAATTTCAGGACATCATATCCCGATTTCATAATATTAAAAGGATGTACCACTATCTCCCAATAATCAAACTGGGACTATTTTTGAGATGAAGATTCTGGTTCCTTCTGAAACAAGGTTGTCTTCAAGTGTTGGTGTATATCTGAAAAGCTGATAAAAGAAAATTGTGTTTTGCAAGAGCTGGAGGTTTCATTGCGGTCTATAAAAGTGTAAATGACAGTTTTAATTTCAAAAGTTTTAATATGTTGCTATTTTAATATTTATAGTTTCAGAAAGCCAAAGGTACAGAATAAGCAGTGATGACAAAATACCTGAACCTTGTCTTTCAATGTTTTTGAGCAGTCATATAGTGGTAAATTGCATTCAGCTTCTCAGACAAAAGAGGCAGTCTGAGCAGAAGGATCACCTTTTTCAGAACGACGTCGTACAGTGTATATACCATGTTTTAGTTAAGGCAAAATAAGTGAGTCCAGTAGAGGAGAAGAATTCTGGCCAGCAGCTTTTGAAAAGAACTATCTGTTCTTGTGCTATGTGTGAATTGTGGATCTTAGCATCACCTGGCTGAGGCCATTGTTCTTATTTATTTCCTGTAAACGTGACTTCAGCTTCATCTTCTGTGTATAGAAATGCCATATAAAATATCATCTTTATTTTAGGTACTGCGTTAGGTACCGGTGTCATTATCGCTGTAGTAGAAAATGCCTTTGTGGGAGTGGAGTTGATTCTAAGGTGGTAAAAGAAATAACTTTAATTTCCAGGCAGTGTACAATGTAGCTCTCCAATCAATTTTCTTCTCAGTTTATTTTGTGATGGGCAAAATGAAGAAGCAGTGATTTTTGAGATGGAAAAGCATACTTGTACTCCTAAACAAAACAGTTAACTTCCACTCATGCAACTACTTGCACTTTCTTTGTGAGTTCTGGGCGGTTGGTAATTATTTAGTTGATGTATGGAAAACACTATCCATGCTACAGTCAGCATGTGTCACACTTCAGAAATTAAGCTTCAGCAGATAATCGCACAAAATTAGCTTCCTTTATTGACTAAAAGTTGTTTAACCTATACTTGCTTGAGATGCGTACTAAGACTTTCCCACTCCATTTTCTCAGAGGCTTACCATTGGTGGTGATCTGTATTAAATCTCCATCAGTGTTTGCTCGTATGGACTACTATAGAAGTTTTCAAATATATCCAAGTGCTTCACTTAAACCCTGGTGCACATGAAGGAGCTGCGAAAACAATGCAAATACTGATTTCAAAAATGCATTCGAGGTTTCACGTTCAGCTGTGAAATACAGTGGGTAAGAAAAGCTGGATATGGTTTTCCTTGTATAGTGTCGCTGATGATGATTGTAACAGAGAAATTAAATGTAGTGCAATATTTTTAAACATACTGAATGGGAAAAGGGCAAAATAGTTGTATTTTAGTGATAAGGAGGAAAACATAAATTCCTATCTGGCATTAATTAAAATAAATGCTAAATCTTGAGGGGGAAAAAGTGTAATACTACATTCCTGATGTAATCCTTGCTTTGTGCTTGATTGTAAATAGCTGAAAATAAAGAATACCACAGAAAACAAGAATATCTTGAGTTAATGATATCCCATAGGTGGCAGCTACACACATTTGCAGAAACTGCCTAATATGATTTTGTTGGCTATTATTTTATCATGAGAACAAGCTTTAATAAAATAGTTTTGCTAAATTATCTTCTTCTTTGCATTGTCTTAGTATTTTTTTTTTTTAATGTTTGTAGTTGCAGTAGTTGATCTTCACTACTTGAAAAGGAAAGTACCTTTGGGAGAAACACAATTTGCATTAAATAAAATTACTGAGTGCTGAATTGGGCTTTTATGCATTCTTTGTATTTGGATATGCATTTATTTTTCTTCTGTGCAGTTTAACAATAGGCAGGTTCAAAATGGTGATTCTGTTGTGTAGCTAGAAGATATGGTAAAATGCAGAGTGTGGTGTTAATTTGCTTTTGTTTTTGCTAGTTAGTTATCGCTGATAGCTTCCAATGGAGTTGGATTGGGAGGGGGGAAGGACTAAGAAAAATTCTGTTTTGTCCTGTCCTTTAGAAAACGCAGTGTATAACTAAAGAAGTCCTTACTGCTTACTCACACATTTGTCTAATTGTTCTGATTTTCATTCTAATTCCCCATATTTGAAATCAGTCATGGAAGTTTACAACCTCAGGGGAGGAAAAAATATACTAAATGTGGGAGAAGCCCAAATTTTTGCAGCATAGCATGTTTTCTTCTCTGTTTTTCTGTGACTGAAGCAGCTCTCAGCAAGGAGAGTACTTGGTTACTGGCTGGTAACATCCACTTACTCCTCCAATCCCCAGAAAATCCAACATGCAGGATGACTGTGAGCTGCCTGCTGTTTGGTGGCAAATGCAGAACACACTTCCCAGGGCAAAACTGTGATCATCCAAATGCCCTGTGAAACGAAAACATGAACCAAATGTAAATTGGCCATCAATAGGCACAGTTGTCTCTTGGTGGCAGTGAAATACTCAGTGTGCTGCAGAACCACGCTCTGTACTCTGTTGCTGTCTGTCTCCAGGACCTCTCAGCTTTGAAGGAAGATTCTCCATCTGTTACATATTCACAAGAACGCAATAGAAAATGCACCCCTATAAAACTGGTAAGTGGATTTTCAAATCAACTACAGCACGTATTGCTTATCCTTGCACACTGTTCAGCCTCTCCCGCTGTTCTCTCAGAATATTCATTCTCTCTTCCTTCAACACTTGTGGCACGGTGTATGAGGGCATATCCTGGCAATGCACGTTTAGTCCTTACCCATTTTGCAGGAGTCAAGCCTCAGATCAGCAGTCAGGTGGTGGGGTGGTTGGTTTTGGAAGATATTGTTTAAACAAGCTGTGCATTTGTGCCCTGGAGTCATAAATGGGCTAGAAATGAAAAGTGCTTTCCCAGTGCTTAAATTAATTCAGTGTTGTTGTTTTTGTACTTTACAAGAGATCACAATGCATGGGGCGACTGCTGAAGGGTAAGGGAGTAATTTGGTCCTTTATTACAAAAGATCATGAACTTATTTTAGATACCTTTATTTTAACGTGGTCTGACTCCATAATAATTGACAAAGCATGAGTTGAAAATTGATCCACTATTTTTCATGTTTTCTGACCATTTATATATATATGTACTTTACAAAATTATATGTAAACATGGTATCTATGCTGCAGTACATAAAACATCTGCAAGTACAGGAAAAGAAGGCACATCCATATTTTAATTATACGAATAAAAAGACACCACAGTCGATAAGGACGTTGTGTGTTACGTTAAATGCTTTCTTTCAAAGCTGAATTTTTTCTCTTCACAGACAGACCATCTACCCCAATGCTGTTCCTCTATTAGACTGTTTACCTAAATCTTTGTTATCTTTAGCAAAGTTGATGGTTTTACTTCCTTTCTGAAAGTTAAATATATGTATTTGCATACATATTTACATAAAATATTTTTGTTTGAACTGCTCAAGTTGCCAGCTTACACCCAGTACGTGCTGAGACTAAATACTGAGATCCTGCAGCTTTCCTTAGGCACTCACAGAAAAGCTAAACTGCAGTTGAGATGTGAAAAATAAAATCCAAAAGATGGAAAGTGAAACAGGACCTCCATGCAGTTCTTATTCCTTCTTAAGGGAAAGGAACTGCATACATTCAGACATGCTTGTTTACCCAGTGCTGTGTGTTTGTTTGCGGACTGCGTTGTGCACAGCTGCTTAGCTGGTTAAACCTTCATTAAATTGTACTGACTACATAGAGATACCCTGATGCATTTGACATATTTTCTTTCTCCCAGTGTTCCACAGGCAGGCAGGTGGAGCTCACTTTGGAAGTTGCACTTTCAACAAACACAACTCCTTGCCACGTCTAAACTCTTAGCTCCAGAATCTGCTGAGTAAGTTAGAGAAGTTATTGGCAAGAGCTGAGTTCACTCTTACGAGTCTAAACAGAACATGAAGTAACGCGATGGCTTTATGAAGCAAACAGTGTCAATTCACATGTTTATACAGATTTATACTACACATTTAATCAAAAATATGCTGTGTAATATTCAATGAAATTAAATACACAGAGGAAAACACTATACAAATTCTCTATAAAAGCTTTGTTTTTTTTCCCTCTTTATAAGGCAGTTAGCAGTTGACTTTATATCCATGGGAGATGAATAATATACCTTTGGTTTTTGACCATTCCACTATTAACTCCACAGTACAACTAAAACATACTTCTGGATGAGATGTTTCACACTGCATTTTGTACACCAAAATGTATTATATGGCTTTTAACGTTACTCATCACTTTCATACTCTTCTTCATCACCTATGGGATAGGACTGGATGTTGTTCTGAGTATACATTTTTGTTTTAACAGGGCAGTTGTGATCCATGAGTATAGCCTGAAAGAAAAGAGGTGAGTGTTAGTGTTCCTGTGTAGTGCTCAGTCGTGGCTGTGATTCACTCTCTTCCACAACAGCAGAAACTAAATTGATTTTTATTACAGTAATTTAGTTTATGTGTCCTTAGATGTATGAGGAGGGATCTTGACAGCAGCAGCACAGTTTTTAGTGAAGCCAGTATTTCAGCTCCTGTGTTAAATACATCTAGCTGCTTTCCCATTGCAGTAACTTAGCACTCATATTGGATCACCACAAGCTGGGTGAATGAGCCCACCTGTCTCCCTTGAGCCTCCTGCTCATGTGCTTGCTTTTCATCCAGAAGCAGCTGCAGTTGGTGAGAACAAAAGGACAAGGAGTATGGAGCTCAAGAAGAGACGTGAAGCATGAATGCTTTAGAACATATTTCAGCCTTGGAGGGGGCTGTAGGTACAAACCAACTGCAAAGTGAACTTTCTATCTCAATTTTTACAAATAATGCTGTTTTATCAGGTAGAAATAACAAGTAATAAATGCATTATTAGCTGGAATCTCTGGGATTCTGCAGTGCAAATATGTGCATCCTAATGTAATAGGAACAACAAATCTACTGCAGGGAGCACGTAACTAAGCTTTTCTTTGTGCATCTTAGAGCTATAACGTGGCAGGGTTGTTTCAGAAATGATGCATGAGGATGAGATAGACTGTGCTGGTCCTGTTTTGGGGAGTTACAGGCAAAGATATAGAAATAAGTTTTAATTCATTTCACTGGAAAAAAAAAAAAACATTAAAAAAAGGTGTTATGCTTACCATTTTCTCTTCTTTGGCAGGTGGACTTCGAAGGAAAAAGCACAGAGGAGCAAAGAGAATATCCACAATCCCTATAATTGTCATGAGCCATGGAAATCCAATTGCCTTTGCGATGGCACCGCCAGCAGAGGGACCTTTTAAAATTAAACCCTTTTTCTGAATACCATAAAACTTGCAGCATTCACTTCAAATAGTAATTTTACATGCAAAAATCCTCTACTTTTCAAAGTGATTGGAAAAAAAAAAGTACAGTTGCATTCCCCACTTGAACCAATGAAATGAGAGGTGCTCCAAGGAGCCTTCACAGCCAACATCTCAGCGTGTTTCTCTTTGTGGTGAAGAATGTTATAAGCAGGAAAATGCAAGACTCACCTATTGCAAAGCCCATGCAAAAGGCAACATCAGCTATGGCATAGACACTGCCATAGACCGACACATGGCGCAGATCCACGAGGTAACCCATGATGGGCATCATGGAGGAGTCCACCATTCCTGGTTGCGAGGGAGAGGAACAGAGATCAGGAAAACTATCCTGATTTTTACATAAACCACAGACTGAACAAGGTAGCGTAGTTTTTTCTCACCAATGGCAAATCCAACTCCGAAATTGGGTGCTATGAGCCCATAGATGTTCTTAGCAAATGGTACCTGTAAATGATGTTTCAGACAGCTGATCAGGTCATGCTGCATGTGTTAATGAAATTTGTTTTGTTTTTCTAAGAGAAATTCTCAGAGCAGTTTGCACACACTTTGCACAGATGTGCAAGCTAGAATTTGGGGCTTGTGTGGGACTTCAGATAAGAGCCATTACACCACTGACACTCGCCATTACAAACAGGAGTAAAATGTTGAGTGGCATTCAAAAAAAAAAAGATCTTTCCTCCTTTAAAAGTCATCCTTCAATGTAAATGAAACAGTAAGATTTGAAAGCACTCAGATCTGCAACCTGTTAGCTGCACGTTATTCAGTGAAGTATCTGGAAGGCAGAAACTTCAGTGAAATGTCACAGTAAAGCACAGTTTCAAAGATGAACACAGAGAGATTTGGATTGTTCAAATGGTCTACTTACACACAAGATGCTTATTCCCACAATGAGCATTCCTAGTAAAGCACAGAGCCACCTGAAAAGGAAGAAACATCGCTCAGAGATCGGTGGTTATAAGGCACTCGAGATCATTTGGGCTGGTTGAGAGCCACATCTGATGTGCAAACCTACACAACTGAAGGTGGAGTGTGTTCCAAAAATGGTTTTGCTACTGTAGTACAACTTCTAATAACTTCCAACATCAACAAACGGCCCTGCAAACACTGGAAACGGAGCACGAACACACTGGAAGATTATTAATATTTTTTAAGGTAAGCATACCTTCCCATTTTGTGCGCAAGTATCCCAAAAAGATTAGTCCCGATAAGATAAGAGATACTGGCTGGAAGAAACGCAACGCCTGAAAAATATGAATGAGATGTTTTATCGGCAGTGATTCCAGCGAGGTGTTAGGAGAAATTAATAAATGCCAGACAGCGCAGTTCCGAAGCAAACACATCTGACAGAGTCGTTGTGTGCAGCCCAGAGAATCAAATATCCGGTTTGCTGCAGCAATCTCAGGACATCATCTATGAGATGCAGGAGCAGCGTGACACCTGCAAAAAAAGTGTTTGTAACTGTAGATAGTTCAAGGAAGCTCATTTTCCCCGATGGATGTTTCTGGGTTTACGGCCGGGTGTAAGGATGGAGGTCAGGCCTTGCTCCCTGCAAGCACCTCAATGCCCTGAAGTACAGGCTGCCATTGGGCCCCCAGTCAGGCATCAGCTCAAACTGAGCACCTAAAGATAAAGAAGCATTAAAAACAAGATTTTTTTTTTTTTTTTTTTTTTAAGATTTAGTAGGTTTTTAATACAAATAACTAACAGCCCTAGGGAAACACCACTGGTTTAAAGGCTAGTTCCAGTGCTCGAGGCTTCCTCCTCTTCCTCACTCTCTATGAGGCTGTGGGCAGAGCCCAGACACAGGGCAATGGGGAGGAAGCCTTGGAAGGTAGTTCTGATTTACAAAGCCATGACATTATGGCACGCAGTCAAACAATTTCTTCTGAGTGCGTGTACTCCTTGTCCCTCACCAAGGCAACACAGGCTTTCTCATTTCCTGCCTATCCATCTTCCTTCCTATCTCTCTGATATTCATAAGAAAAATCAGGAGGTAATTTTTAGCACAGCAATATTCTGCAATTGAAATCCTTATGGGTTAACAATGGTGATGCTGAGGAAACCTTTTCACCTGTGCAACTGCATCTGCTTCGCTGCAGCCTGGTGCAGCCTTTTGTACAGGTGCAAACTGGTCATATAAGAGCAGAACTTGAAAACTGGGGAAAAATGCTGCAGGTTGGGATGTACACATGCAGTGGTAAGCTGTGGTACACTGAAGCATAGCTGCGATTTTCTGAGTTAGATTTATGCACAGTAACATTAATTGACTGAAATCAGGACCTTTGCACCTTCTTGAAATCATGCTTCAAACCACTGGATCTCAAAACTGCCTAAGATCATCATTTGCTTAAACCCTTGCAGTTTGAGATATAGTTTAAGAGGCTTAAAAACTTCAATTAATGCTGACAAATCAGACAAAGCATAAGGGACTCAATTACTTATCTCACTAAGGGGTGAAAATTATTCTTAAATTGGATATTTTTCCTCTAGGAATCTCAGTTCAAATAAGAGATTTGTGAGTCTCACTTCTGTTGCGTCAGTAGCACCGTACTCTAGTAATAAATCTCCAGCATGGCCCGGTGGGGCTGCTCTGCTGCTCACAGTAGCAGCAGCACCACTGCATATAAGAGCAGCAGCATGACTGAATCAGCATGGAGACTTCCATCAGATAAATAACTGCACAAAAATGACATGGTGTACTTTACCGAGTTGCCATTTTTTGGAACACATGGTCTCCATCATCCAGATGGGTAGTGCTGGTTCAAGCATTGCAATAGCCATGTTTGCAAAGCAGATCGATCCTGTAGGAAAAAGAGAGGAGAAAAAACAAAGGTGAAAAATTAGTTATTTTGATTCTGAATAAAAAGCTGTGCAGAGAACAAGAGCTCTTAAAAAAAAACCAAAACACTGTGCTTCTTGCAGTCCTGTTTGTCATGCACCAAATGTTGATTAATGTTAAAAAGAACAGAACGTAAAATCACTGCACACTAACTTGTTATATATTTCAGTTTTCCCAGAAATTCTACAATAAAGGTTAAGCTATATTCATACTGTGAAGGGAGAGCAGCAAAGTCTGCAAGCGAGCCTGGTGACATTTAGAAAGTTCATGAGGTCTGAATGTTCTGCAAATGATGAACTAAAATTCCCATCTTCTGGTCTTCATCTCCAGTCTCCTGAGGCAGAATTGGAGCGCTGTTGTGTAAGAGATACGGTCCATGACCTGTACCTCCATCACAGGATGAGGAAGAGGAGATATGGAGGTCTTGGTCCTAAAAATACCATCGAGCAGCCAGAGAAATACCTGTCCCCTACAAAGGGGTGTTTTGTGTACAGACCCCACTGCCAGCAGCCACAACGCCTGGGCACGGCTAGGCTCAGCTTGCCTAGCCATGTGAATTTCAAGTGCTTTCAGATCTTTCTGAATCTCAGGACATTTGGTCACTCAGGTGCAAAGAACAGAAGTGCTGACTGAATCCAGCCTGCGGCTCTTCTGCCCAAGTAACATTTTCTTTCAGCTCTGCAGCTGTAGTGCTTTGGATTTCCTTTCATTCTTCCTCAGAAGAACCTAACTCATGTACATGGGACATGTCCCCACTGCTCATCCTTCACAAAATGACTTTCAGAGGAGTTTAAAAGTCACTGCTAGAACTGACAGCCTCGGATGCGTGTTCCCATTTTTCTTTCTAACATTTATAATCCCAAAGACTCCTACAAATGTCGCTTTTTGAAGCAAAAAAAAAAATAAGTTTAAGTTGTCTTGAGGTCAGAGAAGTACTATTCCTCTCGGAACAGGCTCCTCATTGCGCAGTTCAAAACGAAATGAGCACGGATGTCATTCTTTGCTCGAACCTGTCAGACCACATTAGGCTGTGTATCTGTGATTGCTGCAATGAACATGCAGGCCTGTCGCTCACTCCCTTCCTGGGGCAGGCAGTAGCTGGTTGGCTCACCTTTACCCTGCAGACAAAGGGTTGCATACAATGGGAACCTTTCCACTCTGTTGCAAGGCTCCATGTCTGCAAGGAACCCCAGCCAAGCACCCAGGGGCTGCCCTGACTCGGCCAAACCCAGCCAAGCTCAAGCTCAATGCTGGAAAAACATTTCAAGCCAAACAAATTGCATCCAGAGGAGCCTACGCCATTCCGACAGAGGCAGATAAGTACGAAAGCTCCTATCCCACTCTCAGCAAACTTCACAAAGTAATTAGAAGTACACATGCACGTAATACAGCTATTTCTCATTAGGACAGGAAGCATCACCAGAGCTTGTCAAGGTAGTTATGTGCGTGGTGACAAAGGTACTTTGCTCTTTAGGACACGCTTCAAGAGAAAGGTGGGAGCCTGAGCTGGCAGTCTGCAAACTGAAGGTAAATCCAATAGAGACCATGCACCCTGACTGAAGTTTCCCCAGACAGGCTTGCTTGGGCTCAACATGGCTCAGCTAAAGTGAATGGAGTGCTTCAGATACATGAATCAGTCAGGAAGCACTTGTGCTTCAGAAATGCAAACCATTATGGATGAAGTGTGTGACACACACCCAGGAGATTAGATCTGAATTCATACCACAAACTTAGTGTACCTGAATCGAGAGCATGAAAAACACTTTAACTGTTGGCCCTTTTGCAGCAGCCCTAAGATAAAGCCATCTTTCACTTGTGGTTGACAAATAGTCCATTAGAGATGCAGTAAATTGTGTCATTTCTCAATGTAATATTCTTTTTAAAAAACAATAGTTTAAAAACAAAAACTTTTGTTCTTTGAGCTTCTCATAAAAAGAAACAGGAAATGACATTGCTGCTAAACCAAGCTAGCTTGAGGCTTTCCAGCATTCCGGGAATAATGCCTGCAGTTGGTTTAAATACATGTATGTATAAATAAAGAGACCTGGTACCTGCTGCAATGATGATATACGGGTCCTTCATAAGTGTCAGTAATGGTGTCCCCTTCTGACTCTGTGAAACAAATGAAAACTTGGCATTAGGAAAGACAAAATGTCAGCTGTGGCTAACAGCATTTTACTACAATACTTACTTCTGCCTGTGCTCTGGACGGCTGCAGAACAAATAATTGAACAGCTGTGGAAAGAAACCAATACTGTAACACTGCTCGAAGAGGAGGGTTAGCAGCTAATGCAGTGTGCTACAGACATACAGGGTCGTATGGACTCTGTGGGTACTGACCTCCATCAAACAGAGCCAGAGCTGCCAGCACGAGGAACGGAGAGCTCTTCCCCACAAACTCATACATGATGCTCCCAAAGGGTGGGCCCACTGCGGGGGGAAGGAAGGAGTCTGGGGTGAGGCCACGTTTCTGATCCTGAACAAGTGTCATCTGCAAGCATTTGGCTGCTGGCACGCCGGGGCCAAAAGGCTCCATTTGAAAAACCCACAGATCTCACTGATTATGTGATTATGGAAACCGTATTCTTCACACCTCAAAATATTCTTCCATTTAAACAAAACTTCAGCATCACGGAAATTACTGTCTGACTTTTATCTGCCTAAGATACGCTTCTGTGTAAGAAACAATTCTTGCCATGAATAGTGAATCTAATCTGGAGATGGCATGATAACATGGCACTTGATGAGATCTTCCCATGTTTCAGTACATCACAGGGATCTACTGAAAGGGTGGGAACTTTATAGCTTCCCTTGGTGGCAGAGCCTGACACTGACCTAATACTCCCATAGCAAGGCCTCCCAGTGCAATTCCCATCGCGTTGCCTCTCTCTTCGTCGTCTGTGTATACACTGGCAAGCATACCCATCCCTAAATCATAAACAAAACAAAGTATAGATTAGGCGGCTGTGTCTTACAATTTATTGTCATCATTTTCCAGCCCTACTGAACATTAGTCAAAGGTAACATTAGGTAACTCTATACACAAATATACATGCATATATATATCCATGTACACACATACTTGTGTGCCTATGTCCCCTCCTCGTGGAGTTTGCCTTGAAGCAGAAGAGAGTTTGGCATATGTAGATGCTCCCCATATCATGTTCTATTACACCGTATCAATCAAATAAATTAATGATGCCCTGATTTGCTGGATTCTTCGTCCTTCCCTTTGCTCCAGAGCGTTTAGATGATGCTTTTCAACCAGACACAACCAAGCTGTTACAAGTGTTCAGTTTTTTATCAGCACACAAATCTGGTACCTGGCATGAGGTCTGGTGCCCAGCTGTCAGTACCCAGGTCATTGCAAGCTGTGCTCTCAGCATAAAGGATCATGAGTATTTCAGGAGCATCCAAAATTAAAGGGTGCTTTTGACCTTTATCTCACTGTCCTCTCTTCTGCTCATCTAATGATGAGCCTTCATTTCACAGAAGGAAACGTGAAGCCTAAATCATTCGTTTTTGTGAAGCTCAGAGTGTGAATGTCACTCAGAGGTGAATGCTAAAGGAGGGTTCTTATAGAAATTGTTACTTTTTTTTAATTACTTCTTTTATTACTTTTCAAATCAAGGCTCTAAATAGGACTAAGCAAATAAGGTCCACAGCTACACAGTGAGCCAGAAAGAGGAAACAGCATTGCATGAGTGATCACTGAGTAAATACCAGCCATCGTGTGCACCATGAGCAGAGGTCCTGAATGAATGTGCTTACTGGAACCTGTGGCTGACTTCAAATTGCTCACATGAGATGCTGGGAAGCAAGTTAGAGAGTGCTATCAGAACTGACAACAAATTTGTGCAGATTCAGAGAACTATTCTGGAAAAGAGTAGGATGCAATACAAAGTTGATGAAGGTTTATGCTTCGATAGGAATAAATCTGCAGAGATACAGGGTGGATATTGCACCCAGTGCTGCAGCCCAGAGAATAGCACAGGGGATGAACAAAGGATTAGAAAAACCATCAGTGAGGAACCTCTGCGTCCCTTTGGATTTAAAACGAGAAAGGAGAAACCAACTCACAACGTGGTGTGGCCTTGAAAGTTAAACAAGCTTTCAAGAGGAGTTTTCAGGGGAATTCTTCCTGAGGAAGCTCTATTCACCTCCCTTCTCAAGCTTAATTTGTATTCATGAACAAAACAAAAAAATTTTCCTCTAGGTTTCATTCCAGAAATGATTGAATAGTTTGGAATGAAAACCCATCCTCCATTTCACCTCTTCATTTTAAAAAAGTAAATAGATCTGACATTGGACATCTAGCACAGGCAACCTGTAGGCTGAATTAGAAGACACTGGGAACAACGCTTTGTAACAGGAATTTCAGATGCAGGCAGAGGTACAATCCCCACGGTGATCTGTAGCAACATAAGTTCCTGGTGACCTTTGAAAGGGCTGAAAATGAATTTAAAATATTGAAGGCACACATGCAGAAACCCCAGAGAGCACACCTCACCTAGCACTCTGCCTTACTGCAACCCAAACACCAACGAGTCTGAGAAGACATTGGGTTTTGAGCTATTGCGTAGGAAAGGGGCAGAATGTCTTTTTAAGTGAAATAGATATAATTTGAGTAAGTTTGTATGATTATTGAAACATACCACAATTAAGAAATGACTTTTACTGAAACCTCTGGGATCTGTGAGCTCTATTTTATTCTCCTGTACGCTCTCTTACCTGCCACTGAAGAACAAGAGGAACCCACCCCTTGAAGGGACCTTGCAATGAACAGCAATGTGTAGCTTCCTGAGAAGGCAAACACTACAGAAAAGACAGAGGCAAATTTTGAAAATTAGGTTAACTCTAACTAGGTTTAAAAGTTAGATTTCTTTAAACCGTAATAGAAAACTTTGTGCCATTTAATCAGGTGTTTACTGTGCCTTGTGTCACTTTCAATGCTAATTGCATTATTATCTCTTATTGCATTTAGAGGTGTCAGTGTTGAATTGTTCTCAGGTGTCTGAGCCTTCTGGTAACACAGAATACGAGCACCCAAGTCGTTTTAACTAATTACTCGGGATCTGATTGCACCCTGCTCTGATTCAGCTGCACACAGAGGTAATAAGACCTTTCTTTCCAGCCTTTATTTAAGCCTGCCCAACCTAAACCTCTGTGCATTCAGGGAAAGCAAGAACTAAGAGAAGCCCCCCAGGTTTAAAGCAGTGTTTCTTCCAATGAGCAGACAAGTTGTGAGATTTTTGCAGTGGTGTTCCACACTTGGTGCTGTGCAATGCATCTGGCCAGAAATTGGAATTACTACTCTTATCCCCAACCAGAATCTGCCTGATGATCCAAAAATCCAGAGCTGTCAGAATCTACCATCAGGTAATCTTTTTTCCATCACTTTGCTCTCCTTGCTGTCAGAAATACTGTCCTAATATTTAATGAATTTTTTCCTTGATATTGGTGGGGTTTTTTTTGTTGTTTTTGTTTTTTTTTTACATGTTGTGGATGTGGGAAACTTAATTCCCATCCCTTTCTTTGCAATGCACTCTGATACATCTTCAATCTGTCTTCTGAAACAAGCTCAGTTTTTAGTAATTCTTTACAGGCTTCCAATGATCCTTTGTACTCTTTCCCTCTGGATCACATCTTGAAATACCACACCAAAAGTGAACGTAAACCAGCAGCTGAGGCCTTATCAGTGCCATTTGGAGTGGACACGTTATCTCAGCTGACTTGTAAGCTATGTTCCTGTTTGCACATCCTATGGTGATGTCAAGCAATGCTATGATACTGTTGACTTTTATATTCTATTCTTGGGCCTCACATTCTCTTTCTGATAAGGCCCCGTGATTCGTAGTTGTCAGGGATCCTGAAAAATAGCTCTCATGACTGAAAACTCTATCAGTTTAAGAGTGTGTGAGCACTGCTCAGACCATGGGAAGCTGAGAGGAAGGTTGAGCCAAGAAAAGGACCAGCTGAAGGGGGATGGAAGGCAGTGAAATCCTTTGAGAGGTTCATAAAAGTATGCTTGTTAAATTTCTATAGCAGCCACTCTTACACTTTTTCTTACACTCAGTTCCTCTACATCAACAACAAGAATTCCTAGGAATAGCTATTGTAGATCACTTGTTTAAAAGTTACACCTGAACTACACCAAATAGGAAGTGGATACTTACTGATTGTTGACACAAACATGATGCAGAAGCCAGCAAACAAGGGAATCTGGTAGCCTATTCTAGAGGAAAAAAAAAAGAAGTTCACATCTTTGGAATTGTCTCACTAATAGTTGCAGTTAGATTTTCCCAAATGAGGACGTTGGCAATTTAGGCAATCGTACACATGTGAAGGATGCAAAAACCTGACTTCTTGTTTCTTTTCAGCTTTTGAACTATTTATGGTGGACCGTATGATCAAATTGCTCCACGTTACAAATGCTTTCTCATTTGCTAAAGCAGAATTTTTATCTGAAATCCCTGAAAGAAGTCCTTCTCTCATTGGAATGTAGCTTTCCAGTAATGTGATGATACTGGACTTTACATGGGCAGTACTGGCTATGTTATGGAAATTATGGAAGAGCCTACAGCAGCCCTCTTCATTTCTAGTGATAATAATAGCTCTGCAATAGGAGCATAATCATTCTGATCTTCTGTTAGTTTGTTGATATAACTGTTATACAAGTAAGGGCTGTATGGGCTGACACAGAACAGGACAAAGAGAGTTTCCCCATAATTGCTTTGATTTTTGAATCTTTAACTTAAAGAAAGCACTGATATAAATATAGAATAAAAAATCCTTCAGGTACAGTTACTGCTGTTGGTGAATGATAGCATCTTCCTCTGGGTATGATGAATGCAAAAATTGAATGTCCCTATTCCTTCTTCCATCACAAAGGGGTGTTTTGTGTGTCAAAGCCAACCCAGAGGTATGTAGGTTGGACACTGTGGACAAGAAGTCTGAGTACTGTAAAGAAATCAAACAATTTGACTTGCCACCAGGAGTGTGAGACTGCAATTCAGAACTCCTACAATTACATGAAATTGAAATCAGTTATTTGCTTGAAGACAAATGCCATCTGAAGTGATTGCCATATCCATTTTCTATCAGCAGATTAAGAGACATTAGCTATGAGATCTTCCATAAGCATTAATGAGCTAAATAAATGGAAGGGCTATCACAGTCTTGTAACCTTAACTGATGGACCAGTCTCCATCCAGTTGAAACAAATTCCACCTCTTTCAATTGGCTTCCTACATTTGGAAAGAGTCTTAGCTATTGATAGTTGTAAGAAAACAAGCATTTTGGATGTACTTTGAATGCTTAGTAAAAGCCCGTTGGATCTTTGATCTTAGTTTTTGCAGCTGTGGATTTTATTCCTCCTTTATCTTGGATGTAGTCACTAGGTGTGAAGCAATACACAGCAGAGGATCATGGAGACAGAGCTAGAGCAGAACTTGCTCTTGCAACCCAACAGACCGTGATGCTTTATTGCACGTGTTTAGGTCTAACACATAACTTTCCTTTCAAGCAGAGAATCATCTCAGAACCAGACTGTGTGGGCATAGCTAGTTCTTTTAGCCAAAATCTGTATTACCTGTGGCCCACCACACAAGATGTGAAGATATAAATGTCAGCAGAATGTGCTGAATCAAGCAAAAAATCATAATCCTCTGAAAAGGTCAAACTGTCTAGAACTCCCCCTCTCCCCCTCAATCTGGAGGTGATGTGCTGCGCTGCTCAAGGTTGCTGAGCCTCCAGAAGTCATTCTTATTCTTGCTCAGGTTCTTACCCACTTGCAGCTGACAGAGAGATATGCAGATTGCCTTTCCTGCATAATCTTAGCAAGTGCTGCCTCCTCCTAACATAGCATAGTGTTAATTAGTGTGTGACCACAAATCTCAGCTGCAGTCCCTGGTCTGTCCAACAGAGAGAACAGACTGGCATTACCCCATCAGCCAAGTGTTTTAAGGATTGTGTCCCCTGGCCCATTCTGCTTTTGCCATGGCACAGCTCCACTCCGACAAGATTTGCCTTGTCTCCTTTTTCCTTGCTGTCATGCCTTAATAAGTCATTTTCACAGGTGCTCCTAACAAAACACTGCATGAGAATCTGCATTAGCCCCAGGTTGAGCACATTTCAGGGAGGCCACCTGCAGCTGCTCTCCCCATAGGCGTCTCTGACTCCTGAAAAAACAGAGCCACCAGTTACAGCAGGGAGAGGGAGGGCTGCTGGTGACAAAGGGTACCTAAACTACTCGCCTTGGTGCCACCTTGGCCCCAGACAGCAGAATTGTTTGGAAGTGGATTATGTTCATTAACAAGGTTACACCACAATGAGAAAACCACTTGACAGTTTTTGTACTGCAGGCAAATAAAGGTTACACTGACCAGGTTAGCAGCTGTGGAACATTAGAGCCTAATTGCCTATCCATTAAGGACTGCAAGTCTACTGACTTTAATATTATGACTGCTTAGTGATATGGGTACCAAGGGCCAGCATTCTGGCCATTGACTTCACCCCTGTGCAGACTGGGGAGGATCTGTAGTAGGAACAGTATTTTCCTCAAGATCTCCATCCCAATGCTCTAAGTTGGGCAGGCAGCGGGGCTCTGGCCGGCTGGGATGGGTGCTCAGGCATTTCAGTCACCTACTGAAAACCCAAAGGAAAGCTTACATAGGAACTGAGCTGTAAATAAGGAGTTGTAAATGTTTTTTGTTTCCCTGCCTCACTCTTTCTATGCATCATAAATATCTTGTGGTTCAAGCCATGCTCTCTCTCATACATGCAAAGCTCACATCTATAGTCAGGCTGGCTGTAAAAACTATCATGCAAACACCTGTTCATTTGTTGATGAAATTTGAAGCCATGTATGGATAGGCATAAAGTTCAAACTATGTATTTTTTCAGGCTGGAAGATGAGGGGAGAGAGCTGCATGGCAGCCGATGCTCTCATTGACACTGGTGAGTGGTGGTGCCAGCACAACTGGGCTCTCAGACTAATTCACAGCGAGGGGCAATGCTTTGGAAAAAATAATGGAATGAATCAGACATAGGAAGCTGGTGCCCAATTTCTTCTTTGGAAGGATTAGGAAAAGCCTTCAAACTCCCCTTGACTGCATGTCCTGCGCACAGAGTGCTCTGTAGCAAGTGCTGTGCTGTTTGTATGGTTTCTTATCTGTTACACTACAAGCAAAAGCCAAATGTGCACCTGAGCAAGAAAAGATCTCAGTGCTGCTATGGGAGGTGTGTCATTCACATGCTGTGGCAAAGCCATTGCTCTGGTGTTCTGTTTGCTAGGACTTCCACCAGGGCTGTGAGTGAAGGGAAGCCGGTGGTGCATCTTGAGTTGCAAACCAGTTCATGAAGACAGGTGTGTGATGTGTCTCGTGTTCCTTCAAAAGAGATCAGCTTTAAATAAGAAACATTTTTAGCTTGCTTCTAGACTTAAATTAATTTCCAAAGTTACTGTTTAAAATTTTGAGTTCTAGTTGTTTCACAAAACGATGGAACACCCTGTTGTATCCTTATACAAACTCAAGCACTCAAAGCCAGTACATATTTAAAGCCAATAACTCTATGCTTGTTTAAAACTCTCAACCATTCCTAAAGAATTATATTTAAATGAAAAATAAAAGCTATGAGTATGGTTTAGTTCTTAATTGAAGCTTACACCTTAACAGGGTGTTCACAGTAGTTTTTAAACAAAGAAACCCATCCTCCTTAAGCTGTTCTAGTTTACTTAAATTTTGCCATAACAGTGATCATTTAACAGCTTATCAGTGGTAGAGTCTTTATATTGATAACTCATATCTTCTGTTTCATTGATAGTAGTTTTCAGACTTCCTTTCAAACGAACACAAACACTGTTCTTAGGAAATGTCTCGTTTTGTTGGGGTTTTTTTGCCAATGGCTCCAACACTTAATTGATAAATACATAAACTGATATTTTTCACTAAATGTTTCTCAGAATAAAGGCAGACGCTGCTACCAAGACCCGAACTACACATGAAAGAAAACCAATAATCCTTAAATCTAATTTAGGGGCAGTCTGCCATGAGGACACTGCCACGTGTGGCTGAGTGCTCTCCTTACTTCTCCTTTTCCCATTTTCTGGGCACTGAGCCTGCAGATCCTGCCACTGGGAGGGAATTTTCATCCCCATGCACAAATCTACGGGATGGTTACATCCTGGCTGTAGGGCTGCCAGCATCAGTGCTCACACCAGGGCAGCACTGACACTGGTGCCACCAGTGTCAACATGTGAACATGTTGGAAGAAGGAGGAGACCCAAGAACATCTACCTCACTGCCAGCTCTAAGATCTGTGGGAGATTCCAGCCTCTGGCCCCAGCACAGATAGGCATCGGGGTGGTTGTTCCCTTTTGCTGATGCAGAGATCCTATCTACAGCATGATGTGACTGCATTAATGAAAGAGCCACCAGCCATGTGGGGTGTGTTCTTTCTTTTTCCCAAGTTTGGCAGTTTGTAGACAATATGATACAAACACCAAAATCCAGAGAAAATAAATATAAATAGGGCCATAATGCAGGCACTTGGTAAAACCTAGATACCTAAAGAACTATTATGAAAATATGATTTGATTTCATACTGCTTTGATTGTGGAAGAGCTGTCATGTCCTCACAAAGCAATATAGGAAATCTAGATCTGTTCCTTACATTGCAGCTGTGTTTGCATAAAAGTTATATTGTAATGGCAAATCGTTTTGGAGGGAATATAGAAGGAGGTTTGGAGAAAACAAATAGAAATGAAGGTATCTATCTAATATAAAGCTTTTGTGTTTATATCTGTCCCACAGATTTAATACAGCTGTGGAATTCTGGACATTCTGAGTCAAACCTCTGTTCATCACTCAGTTGGATGTTTCTCTCAAGATGGCATTAAATACTCAGTTCAGCCATCACACAATGTATGTAACATGCCAAATCCAAAAAAGGTAGTTTGATTTCAAAACCTGAAATATTTCACCTTAAAGAATGTTGCTTTGGTTATGGTCACCAATGATAAGTGTAAAACTACAACAACTTAAAAGTGTTTTCAATTGAGGAAGTGGACAAATTTCTGCTGCGTGTTGTTTTCTGATAGGAAAATATCTTCGTTATGGGAATAGCTTAAAGAGAAATGGGAAAATTAGTGACCTAACTAAACATAATTTGGAGCTTATTCCCTACAGAGATTAACATCTCTGTCTAGAAGAACTGCAGCTTCTTCATGGGAATCAATCATACAGAATGCTAACAATAAAATAAAATTAATTATTAACATAAGACATTTAAATGATATTACAAATACTTTTTAATCTCCATGTAGATGTATTCAATGCTTGGATTATTTTCTGTTGTTGTGGGTTATTTTAAAGCCACTGATATTGGTCTTACAACACTGATCCTGCTCAGATAGATATTCTGTAACTTACTGTATAATTATTGTTTTAGATTTAAAAAAATAATAATTTTTTTTAAATTTCATTTCACAGAATCACAGAACAGCTCAGGTTGGAAGGGACCTTAAGGATCATGAATCTCCAACCCCCCTGCCACATGCAGGCCTCCAACCTTTCCATTTAATACCAGACCAGGCTGCCCAGGGCCCCATCCAACCTGGCCTTGAACACCTCCAGGGACGGGGCATCCACAGCCTCTCTGGGCAGCTGTTCCAGCACCTCACCACTCTCAGAGGAAAGAACTTCCCCCTGACATCCAACCTAAATCTTCCCTCCTTCAACTTAAAACCATTTCCCCTTGTCCTGCAGTTATCTATCCTTTCAAAGAGTTGATTCCCCTCCTGTCTGTAGGTTCCCTTTAGGTACTGAAAGGCTGCAATGAGGTCACCCCACAGCCGCCTTTTCTCCAGGCTGAACAAGCCCAACATACTGTCTAAACAGTATGGACAGTAACATACTGTCCAAACATTTTGTTCAAGCTACCATCTATATGCAGGGATTCAGAGATGACGGTCTGAAGGTTGGACTGGATCCTGCACTGGTGTCATCCTGATCCACTGAGCTCAGAGAGGAGCATGGCCTTGGCGGGGTTTGGCAAACATGCAGGTCAATGAGAGCTTCATAGAATCATTAATGTTGGAAAAGACCAAGATCATCGAGTCCAACCACCAACCCATAACCTCCATGCTCACTAATATCCCTCAGAGCCACATTTGCCCTGTACTTGGAAACCTGCAGGGATGATGGCTCCACTGCTTTGCACATGGCTTTTAGCTCAGGTGAATTGGAACCACAGCACCCACAGTACAGTGGGTCTATGGGAGGCAGGGGTGGACCTGAACCCTGCCTGTGGTTCCAATATCCCAACTGCTGTGTATAGGAGTAATAGAAGTGTCATCTGTACATAGGGCTGAATTCTTCCAACTAGGAGCTGTAGGATCCTGTGGCCCTGTGTAACTGCACTGAAGAAAATTCAACACCTCTTCTGCAAAAGTTTCTATAAAAACCTGAGGACTCAGGAGCTGGAGAAAAAGAAAAGTGCACAACACTGTGGAAGGGCCCATGTGCTTCCCAATTTATTTTTGAAATGATGCAGGCTGTTAGGAGATGCAATTATCGGATGCATTTCACTAAAATATTCCTCTAGATAAGGTGAGAAGGGCAGTAAGTCAGGGCCACAACCGACTTAAAACTACTTTGAAACCCTCACCCAGACCTTAAACAGTGATGGATGAGCCCCAGCTGAATCACGTGAGCACTGTTTGCCTCACCTGTTTGTCAGCGGCCCTATGAAGGGGTTGGTGATCAGCTGCACCGTGGCTTTGGAAGCAAACAATAACCCGACTTGAACGTTCTCATTCAGCAGGTCCTTATCTTCCTTCGGGCAGTCCGGAGGCGCAGCGGTCGCGTTTACCATCATCGGTGCTGTCTGAGTGTGCTGCAGCTCTCCGGGTGCTGCCTTATCAGACTCATTTCCAGTCAGCACCATCGAGTGGTCATAGTAGGAGAAGATGCTCTGAAAACTGTCCGCTGTCGTTGCAATGACGTTAGGCTTAGGAGTCTGGATTTCTGTTGCATTTTTCTCATGTTTGATGCTGTAAAGGTAACTGGGAATTATTGGCACTGGAAAAACAAATAGAATATATTGGCATCTTACTATCAGGTTATGTGTAAATTGGAATCACCAAATTTTCTTCTTGATTAGGAAACACAAAGCTTTCCTACAGGAAACAGCAGTAAGGATTTCAAAAGGGTGAAACTGAACTAAAACAGAGCATTGCTGATAGGAGAAATTACCCTCCTAATTGCAGTGTAAAGCATAAAGAGAAATTACCCTCCTAATTGCAATGTAAAGCATAAAGCTCTTTCACATTAGTGTTTAATTTTTGCCAGGTTTTGTAATTATTAAGTATTCTAGACAGACATCTTTCAGAAAGAAAAATATGAGAAGTACCAAAACCCGTCTCTGAACAGACTCCTTGTTGCATGAGTGTTTAAATCCCTTTATTACTGTGGAAGCACAAAAGATGAGAAAAGCATTGCAACTATTGTTAAATCAAAATACTAAAAAATAATTAAATGCCCGAGTAAAATAAGCCTCAAAAATTGTAAGTAATGGTCACAAGAAGGGAAACCATCATCATAACACTTCTGTGTTAAGCAGTCAGTACCAAAGCATTGATGCTTACACGTTTCACCATTTCTCTAAACATAACATTGAAAAGATCACCCAGAAGGGACCTGCTTGATGTGCTTTAGGATCGTAGCTGTGTTCTAATTGCATTCACTGAAATAACTGTAGGGGCTTCTTGCACGTATATTAACGAATACATAATGAAATGCCTAAAAACTTCATAACAAAGAATGTTCATGCAGAAAAAACATCCAGAACGGACTTGCTAAAAGCAGATGTGAAGTTTTGTTTAAAGTCTGCATGGTGGCATCAGCCTTACACCGAGGAGCAGGGTGCAGGAGTGGCACTGCAGCTGGGGGTGGGCTGGGCACTGCCTGCAGCCCGCTGTGCTGCAAGCCACAACCCGGGAGCTTCTCCCAACCCTTTTGAAAGTCTACATAAATACAGACCTGTGAATATGAGAGCTTATACAGCTACCAATGGAAAGTGTTCAAGCACTTTATCTGAGCAGGTTCCTGAATGTGGGAGCTGTGTTACTCGAAGCCAGTAACAGTTGCATCTTCAGCTTTCATCAGAACTCAGATTGTTTCATTCAGACATCTCCTAGAAGTGCTTTTCGTAAAACCCACTCTGATAGCTTTCGTGTTAACCTATCGTTTCATGAGCAGTGCTGGGGAAAGGAGAGCTATCACAAGGAAGCAGACAGCCCAGTGTTATCTCGCCTGTTGTTTCAGTTGCATGACCACAGGAGGAAAAAAAAAAAAGATGCTGAGCTAAAAATACGGCCATCATTCTATGAAGTAGTAGTGGATTTTGTTAGGGGGGAAAAAAAAATATATATATATATATACATAAAGATCTTTGTATGCAACTCCTTACCCTGCAACTAACAGAGAAATAAAGTGCATGGCAGTGTTTGCAGCACCTGGAACACCGGACGTGTATTTTAAAAAATCACTGTGTGGATCGAGAGCGTTAAATCATCACTCAGGGAGCACATCTGTCACCGGAGATTATTTCTGGCACCAGAGAGAGGAGAAAAGAAAAAGAGAAAAAAAAAAAGCAAACAAACAAACCCCACACCACCACCGTCCACCTACCGACCACGGTGAGCAGCATGTTGTCCAGCAGCAGGGCGATGAAGACGATGAGGAGGATGAGCTTTCTGGACTGCCGGCCCTCCCGCAGCCAGCGCAGGCTGAGCTCGCCCCACGCCATGCTGCGGGGCACGGCGGGTGCGGGGGGCTGCGGGCAGAGCCACTGCCCGCCCCGAGACGTCCCGAACGCTGCAGGGAGCGGAGAGCGGCAGGAGGAGGAGGAGGAGGAGGAGGATGCTGTCGGGGCAGAGGAGGAGGAGGGGGAAGGAGAAGGAGGAGGAGGACGAACTGCCGGCCCCTCCCCGGCCTCAGCGCAAGCTCTGAGTGCCCTGTAAGGTGAGCCCCAGCAGGTACGTGGGGAGCAAAGGCAGCGTTCCAGGCTGAACCTAAAAGGGTGTCCTGGTCGGGATGGTGCTGCTGGCACCCATGTAGGGGATTTGAAGCTTTTGGTGTTTCAGTCATTCTCCCAGCTGGAGCACATGGGTATCACGCCCAACCTGCGGTGCTATTTGTAGTTATTGCTCATTTCTTTATGATCTCTATTAGAAAACAAACTGGCTGTACAACAGATCAGCAATTGAGCTGATAAAGAAGCACCTCCCCTACGAGGACAGGCTGAGAGATATGGGGCTCTTCAGCTTGGAGAAGAGAAGGCTCTGGGGGGATTTTATAGTGTCCTTCCAGTACCTGAAGGGCAAGTAGCAACAGGATGAGGGAAAATGACTTTAAACTGGAAGAGGGTACATTTAGATGGGATATTAGGAAAAAGTTCTTTACTGTGAGTGTGGTGAGATGCTGGAACAGTTTGCCTAGAGAGGTTCCCCCTCGCTGGAAGCACTCAAGACCAGGCTGGACGGGGCTGTGAGCAGCCTGGTCTAGAGGGATGTGTCCCTGCCGATAGCAGGGGGTTGGAACTAGATGATCTTAAAGGTCTCTTCCAACCCAAACCATTCCATGAAGAGACCTGTTTGGACATAGAATCACGTCCTTATTTCAGGTTGTCATTCATGCCACAGTACGTTGTGTTCTTTTAACCAACCTACGCTTGTATGAGCTGCTCTTTGCCCTACCTTCCCCATGCTTCACTTTTGGTAAAACCATTGAAACTGAAAGAAGCTTCTTAATGCAGCCCCAGAGCCAACCATAGGCACTAAGCTGATAACAACAATGCTATGCAAACATTCAGTTTCATTATGTGGCCTGCATATATTTCTATACATTCATATACAAGTCAAGAAGTTAAATGGTGTGCCTTTGAATTGTGTCAGGTCTTCATAAGTATCAGAGATTTCCTGCGAAGTGATGCTCAGACATATGCTGCTGCTTCTATAGCAGTGCTCATTTCATACAGTAAACACACAGTTTTAGAATTAATTTATTAATTAATGACATACATTTATACTGAGCAGTGTTGCCTATATAACGGTAGTTCTCTCTTTCTGTCTCCATCATGCTGATATTCAGCTGGCAGCATCTGGCCACTCTGCTTTGCTCCACTTCAAACCTCTACTCTCTCCTCTTATCATAGCTCCTCTTACCCTCAGCCAATTGATTTCTACACAGCTAATTCCAAAACGTGTGTGCAAAAGCAAGCCTGCACTATTAGTGTGGAGAAGCAGAGAACATATGAGTACATCTATTTGCATGTGAAGATGCCCATTGGTGCACAGACATTATTGCTTTATTAATCTAGCCAATTAAATCTTGATTACTTCTAGAAAATGAGCGGGTCAGGAAGACCCGAGGTTTGCTGCTGTGCAGATGTGAAGAGTATTCTGTCAATAAACATTTCTTCACCATTATTAATTCAGCTTTAGCCAGGGATCTTTGCATCTACCAAAGAACGAGCAGGAAAGGAGCAGGAGCACAGCCAAATTGGCCATTACATTTGGGAACCTGTTTATGACTAGGTTTCCCTGTGGAACTTTTGTCTACCATATAATTGTTAAATGAGATTTGTCAAAAAGAGAGAAAGAAAACCACTTTTTTTTTTTTTTTTTTTTTTTTTTTCCCAGCTGTTAATTGAGGTTTCAACAGAACAGTTGAGCCAAATTTCATGCTTTGAAAATAGGCATTCAACTCCTTTTTTTTTTTCTTTTCTTGTAGAGTATCTGCCTTTTCTTTGCCTTGCCTATTCCTGGAAGTATACGTGTGCTTATTAAGCTCAGAAATAACTCCCAAAATCATAGATAGATATTTAGGAATCCAAATTTTGAAAACTTAGCAGCCCAAATTTCATTTATGATCACAGGAATCGCAGATTTTAAAGGACGTGATTTTCACCACTGTTTGAAGGGATTTCAATTCCAAAATGTCTCACATCTTTTTGCCGCTGCCTCCTTCATCCAGACAAAAATATTCACAGAAAGGAATGAGCATGCCAAGTTACTGCCTTGACACAAGGGTCCTACTTGCCTCAAGCATTGGTTCCAGCAGGCAGTTCCAAACCATGACCTCAAAATTACAGCCCCATGGGGGTTGTGCTCCTGCAATTCCTTGCAGCCATGAGTGGAAAGGCTCCTTCTGAGATCTTTCTGAACAGGTCGGTGGCCAGCATGCACTCATAGTTATGCTTCCCTCTGAGCGAGGCACCCCAAACTTGTTAGGGAATAGGCTAAAGGCACCAAGTAACACAGAGTTGGTGACCAAAAACAATACTTTATCGTGGTCCTGACAATTACACTTTGGCCAACTGACTGGAAAACTCTTCTGAATCACCTCCATGCTGCACAGGCAAATGAGATACACAGACAGATAGAAGAGCCAAAACCACACAGGCAGTGATACCTTAAATGACCACCAGTCTGGACGTGAGGTTGAAGAACACTACAATTTAGCAGGCCTAATTCTGACCCCAGCTAGAAAGGTTCTCTGCAGCAAGATGCCATGTGTGAACAGCTGGCTGCCATCGTGGCACAACATTGCTAGGAGTTCCAGCAAAAAGTGCCACTTTGCTGGCTTGCCTGCAGTTTTCTTCAGTGTCCACTGTTAAAAAAAAGTAAAAACAAGTAAAAATAAAAGGTGACAGTACTCACCAGCCAGGCTGAGAAATGCACTGCCTTGCTGGCTCCTTTGGGAAAAATAATGCCTTTTAAAGCTGTCTCTTTTTTTAAGATTTACATTCATTCCTACAACTTGCAGCTTAATTTGTAATAATTCATAATTATCTCAGCTTTCTGTGTGAATTAATCATTTACAGTTATTGCTAGTGGGGAAATTCCAGCTATAAATAATTCTTACTATTTAAGTTGGAAGGCATACCTGGCAGCTTATGTTTTACTAATAACAAGTAATGTACTTAGTCAGCTTTTTCAACCTTTGTAACTCTTTTAAGATTTTTTTCTTTGTGCCCAAGAGTCATACTACTAATTACTATGTAGTAAAGCTGTGTAGTAGTTAGATCCACTGAATAATGTGCCTCATTTTCTCCAGGCATCGGAGATATACATTGTATTTTAGTCTGCCTCCATGTAGCCTACATGGAAGTGTGGGTGTGAATGTGTGTGTGTGTATCAATAAACATGTATGCTCATTGGCATAAATGAAGTGGCATGTAGTGTTTGGAGGAGAGAGAGAAAAAGAAAGTAGAAATTTTGCTTTTACAAAGGTCACATTTATTAATTCATATTGCTAAGCCACAGCCTGCCTGGATTTATCTGAACAACCCAGATTTAAGACTGTAATGGGCTCACCCAAAAAGTCAGAAATGGCTCAGGGTAGACAGATGAGATGCAGGGGAAGAAGAAATACTGTGCAGTTTGGGGTACCTCCTCCAGAAAGAAGCAACACATCATTTACTTCCCTTCACGTAGAAGCAGTGACATCAACTGCATGACATGAAAGTGGGGCTGCCACCTCCCCACGCACATGGGAATGATGGCAAGAGGTGCACTCCATTTGTAGAAACTTTTAGTGAGTTTCAGAATGAGGAAATTGTAATCTATGGCACAACATCACTCTTTCAAAATTAGTATTTTGAATCAGAATGTTTGGCTCCGTGTTTGGAACAGCAGCCCAAGTCATGGTGGAATGAAGGCCAGCAGTGCCTTGCAGGAGCAGCCTCTGGTGCCATGTCCTGGCATGCCCCAGGTCTCCTTGCAGAGTTCCTGGAAAATCTGGCCTTAAAGAAGCACTGGCAAGGGCTGTGTTATGCTGAGGGCTTAATGTGATCCTTTTCAGGAGAGCTGTCATGCTGCAAAGCTGCAATGGAAACTATTTTTAGTGTTTTAACTGTGTCTGATCACACCGACATTGCTGGCCACAGGTTGGGGATGGTAGCATCTCACTCTGACATATTTTATTGGTCTGACAAGAAAAGAGCATCTGACAAGTTCAATAAAAGCTGGAAAATAATGATGCTAAGTAGCACCTTGTTTTCCCTGTTCCTTCCAAGCTGATATTGTGTCTGCATAGCCCCCAGGGCAGCCCCCTGCCAGCTCCCTGATCAATGGAAGGCATGCTGGCCTCGGCTTTACAAACCCAATTATTTTCTTCTGAAATCTGTCTGAAACTAAAAGGCATCTGACAAAAAATCTTTCCCATCCCTGGAGGTTATAGGAATTCAGTTATTTCATGTAAATTGTGTTTACTGCTAACGTTTGCACATCTTTTAAAACTGCCGCTTGTTAGATGGCTTTGTAAGAAACAGTCCCTCTAGCACGGGCTGTGAATGCCATGTATTAAGAGATCTGGTTAGCAATAATGTATGTGTATATAGGCATCAGTTTGTGCTAGTGTGCATGCACTTGCATGTGTGTATGTGCATGTTTAAGCATCAGCTACTTAAATAACTGCACCACAGGTGTGCATCGGGGCATACAAGGGCAAAGAAGAGCTGTGGGGAAGGAAGCAATAGGTCTTGCTTTGGTAGCTTGGTTTCGGAGCAAATACTTGCCTGCACATTTAGCTTGTGCCATGACTTGAGTGTGCAGGAAGCTTTAAGGTCAATTTGATCTAAATAACTCTTCATCTTTAACATCTATTGCTAGTTAAAAGATTATCCAGCTTTCACATGATTTTTAAGTCCTCTCCAACAGCATAACTGAGCTCTGCATCAAAAAGTGAATTCTACTTCCTTCCTTCTGCTGACGTATCATACTTCTTCTGCTAACACTGTTTCATTTTGTAAAAGTGGCCAAGGCTGAGTCAATGAACATTAGGGTCTAGCTTATGAATTTCCTGTGCAAAATTGAACATGAAATGGGCC